TCTATCTATCTATCTATCTATCTATCTATCTATCTATCTATCTATCTATCTATTTATCTATCTACCTATCTATCTACATATCTATCTATCTATCTATCCATCTACCTACCTACCTACCTACCTACCTACCTATCTATCTATAACACCTTGGGACCAATTAATGATGTTAGACCAGTTTCTTGAGTTTTTCAAACTTGGGAGCTTTAAGCTATGTGGACTTCAGCTCCCCAGCAATTTTAAACTATGTGGCATTCAACATCCAGAATTCCCCAGTCAGCAATTCTGGGAGTTGAGGCCCCCCACGGTGGTGGGAATCACCAAAATCACCAATCAGCCAATCAGCTAAGAGGATCCTGCACTTTTCTCTTCTTTCTTCATTCAGCTGATCGTCAGAAGTTATATATTTCTTATATGTATCCATGTATTCATAACTATGTTTTTACTTATGCCTATTATCTTGTAAGCAATTGACAAATAAAAAATAAAATAAAAAAATAAGTAAGAACATAGTTATGAATACATGGATACATATAAAAAAAATAAAAGAAAATAAAAGAAACAATAGGACAGGGACGGTAGGCACGTTGGTGTGCTTATGCACGTCCCCTATAGACCTCTTAGGAAAGGGGTGTGGTCAATAGTAGACAGTCTAAGATCTAACAGAGCTGCAGAGCTTAATATAGAGCCACGCCTAGGCTGCTTCTAGTTTCAGTTTCCAAACTGTCCTCATTGGCTGATTTAGTTGCTATGCCTATTCCTTGGCTGACCTTGTTACCATGCTCTATTCCAGTTCATGAATATACCCTGAGAAGCCGCACACGGGTCCATGTCTCCCGAGGGAGAAGAACGGGCCCCTTTTGCTGCAATCTCCGTCTTGACCCTTGGATATTTCTTGTTGCTTAGCAGGATGTGTGATGCAGGCGAAGGGCTGTACACCTTCCAGACCCAGGAGGGCGAAGAGATCTATCAGAGAGTGCACAGCGCCACCTTAGCCATTGCCGAGCAGCACAAGCGCGTCCTGATGGAGATGGAGAAGAACGTGAGAGTGAGTGTCCATTCCTGCCGGTGGAGGGGAAGGCTGATATTTTGGGGCTTCTGAGCCATCTGTTTGTTGGGCATCTTCCAAACACCTTGGGACCAGTTAATGATGTTAGATCAGTTTCTTGAGCTTCTTAAACTTGGGACCTTTAAGCTATGTGGACTTCAGCTCCCCAGCAATTTTAAACTATGTGGGATTCAACATCCAGAATTCCCCAGCCAGCAATTCTGGGAGTTGAGGTCCACCACGTTGGTGGGATTCTACCAGTTTCCCTACCGGTTTGGTGATCATGCGCTCTGCGTGTATGCGCACCTAATGCAAGCCCATGCAGCTTTCCAAACACTAGCTGAGGCTCTGACAATCAGCTAAGAGGATCCTGCACTTTTCTCTTCTTCTTTCATCTGATCGTTGGAGCTTTATTTTTTACTACCGGTTCAGGTGAACCAGGCCAAACCGGTAGCATTTTACCACCAGCTTAAGAAACACTGAGTTTTTTTCTGTTCCCTGCTGGTTTGGGGAATTCGGAAAGTGGTAGAAGGTTGTTCTTTAGAGATGGGAAGTCATCCATCTCTTGCAAAACCGAGCTGTATAAATCCTGCCTACAGCTCACAAGAGGAGTGGAAAAGGGAGGTGAGGAGTCTGAGCCGGCAGGAAGTTGATTCTTGAGACCTCACACAAAAAGGTATTTAAAGGCCGGTGTTCTGACAGACAAACACAACTCAGAACACACTGACGATGTCTCCTCGAATGGTGACAAAACATTTTGCAACCAAATTGCCAAAATCAGCCCAACAGCCCAGCTACCAACCCAAGCTACTACTATTCAAACATATTTCAACCTCTTTAAAACATCGGAGAGATGCGAAGCGTCATTTGTCTCACTCTATTATTTTGTAACCTTAGAAAATTTAAACTGATGGACTTCAACTTCCAGAACTCCCCAGCCAGCCATGCTGAAGAGTTGAAGTCCACACATCTTAAAATTGCCAAGGTTGAAAAACTGGTCTAACATCATTAATTGACATAACTATCTTAACTCACCTGTCGTGCCAAACATCAGCAATTAGAATCAATGGTGGGATTCAAAAATTTTTACTACCAGTTATGTGGGCGTGGCTTGGTGGGCGTGACAGGGGAAAGTTACTTAAAAATCCCCGTTCCCTCCCGACCCCACTAACCTGCTTTCCAGCTCTGTTCTCCTGGGCAGGGCAACCTAAGGAGACCCAGCCGATCAGCTGGGACTCAATGGGAGGCAGAGAAGAGATGGGGTTGGCGGGGCCAGTCAGAGGTGGGATTTGCCGGTTCTCCAAACTACTCAAAATTTCCACTACCAGTTCTCCAGAACCAGTCAGAACCTGCTGAATACCACCTCTGAATTAGATGGTCATATGGAATGGAGAAACTAAGTAACTACATTAGATTGACTTTGTTTAGGGTTTTTTTTTTTTAATCAAGTGGTTTTGGACCCTGTTTGTGGACTCCAAGGAGTGAGGTTGTGGTTATGATGTCACTACAGTGAGTAAAGGACGTGTTTGGCCTTGAGTGTTACGGCGAGTTAAAGGGGGAGATAAGTGCCTCAGCTTCACCCCAGAGCAAAAAAAAAAACAGAATTATTTTGGAGTTGTACACAGCCCTTGAGCTTAGATTAAGGCACTATAAAAACCAAACACTGCCATTATCTGAAACCCTGCCTTTTATCAGGATTGTCCACATTAGTGGTGCCTTTATCTCTTTATAGCCACACTGTTTGGGGTAACATTCCTTGAAAAGGTTTCCAAAACACCGACTGTAGCAAGCAAGAAGACCATAAAATAAGGATTTTGTCAATGAAGATTGTTCTGGCTCTTTGGGTGAATTGCCAACCTACTGTCCACCAACCTGGCCTGATCTCCCCTTGTCTCTCACAGCTTGGGGCGTTGTTGATCCAAAGTGAGATGGTATTCTGCTTGCTTTTGCTTTTTAGACTGATGCTTTCCCAAGGGGAATATGAAAACCAGAAACCCATGCAGTTATTGAGAAAGGGGAACGTTTCATGAGACTACATGGGATGGCATCAATGCAGCTTCTGTAGACTGTTTTTTTAAAAAATAAATATTATTAAGTTTTCAAATTTTAAAAACATAAAACTTTTGCTGTTCAGCAACTTTAAGATGGGTGAGCTCCTAGCTTACTAGGGGATTCTGGGAGTTGGCGTCCATCTATCTCAAAGGTGCCAACAGAGCAGGCCGGATAGCAGTGCCTTTTGGCTGCTGGATATGGTTGGGGAATGAAGGAAAAACAGCTGTTTTGACCACTTTTTAATTCAGTTCAATTAGTTCTCTAAAGCAGTGGTCCCCAACCTTTTTTGTGCCGGGCCCGGTACCAGCATCACAAAATGATCCGCGGCCCGGTACCAGAATCAGCACACATGACAAGGCAAGGCGAGCTGAGCGACCGGCCAGCCAGCCGTCCCCCGCTTCTCCCCGCATCTTCAACTTCTCCTTTGTCGATGGGCTTCGCTTCAGGACAGCTTCGGGACGGTCACTCAGCTAGCCTTGCCTTGGGTGCTGAAAGAATCCTCGCGCCTTAGTTTCATTCGAAGCCCCCCCTTCGATGAAACTAAGGCGCGAGGATTCCTTCAGGACCCAAACGCCGCTTTCCAACCGGAAAAGCTCACCCAGAAGCACTTTCTTGTCAAACAAGATGGCAGCGCCCAGCAAACCGGCGGCCCGGTAGGAAATGTTCCACGGACCGGTACCGGTCTGCGGCCCGGTGGTTGGGGACCCCTGCTCTAAAGGAAAAACCTCCTGCAACGTGCCAGCTTCCCAAAGCCAGCAGGGACCAGAAGAAACCGAATGTTTCTTAACCATAACAACTTTAAACAATGTGGACTTCAACTCCCAGAACTCTCCAGCCAATTCTGGGAGTCGAACTCCGCGGAGTTTAACGTTTCCAAGTTTGAGAAGCTTGAGGTCTCATGTCATTAAGGTTGACTCAGCCTTCCATCCTTTGGTAAAATGAGGATCCAGATTGTTGGGGGCAATAATGCTGACTCTGTAAACCACTTAGAGGTGGCTCTAAAGCACTGTGAAATGGTATATAAGTCTAGGTGCTATTACGATTGCTATTAATAAAGTGGCCCCTTTATGGCAGACCAACAGAAATAGATAAGACTCCTTCAAGGGAACTCTGAAGTATTTTAACATGGATTCTTTGCCCCATTGTACAGAGCCCTTTTGTTGAATGCTGCAGATTCCTTCCTTCCTTCATTTTCATTCATTCATTCATTCATTCATTCATTCATTCATTCATCCATCCATCCATCCATCCATCTATCTATTCATTCATTTATTCATTCAATTTCTATGGCCGTCCATCTCAGTCAATGACTCAGGGCATCTTACAGCTCAGAAAATCTATTCCAATAAAAAATTTAAAGACCCATTTAAAAAAATAAAACCAGTTAAAAAAAAAAACCCTTAAAACAATTCAGATTTTGGAAGCTCACCTCCTCACCTCTTTCTACTTTTCCAGTTGTTGAACAAGGGGACAGAGCATTATTCCTATCCTTGCACACCTACCACCATGCTGCCACGCAGTGCTTACTGGCATCATATCACCGGCTCACAGAACATCGCCGAGTCTTCCAGCTATGGGGGTGAGTGCGCATCTTCTTCCATTCAACGGGGATAGTTTCAAGATCATGTGGAGTGATAGTAATACTTTGTGATGACCCAGGGTGGGATACAAAAGCAACAAAGTCACAAAAACAGGTGAAGTCCCTTGAATTCCTTCAACTTGGCTTCTAAGGTCCAATTATCATTGACTGGAGAACAAACGGCCCCACAAACAGTTGCGCGAAAGGAAGAAATACCATTCAAACTCAAAATACGTATAAATTATAAGTAGAAAAAACAACGCAAACCACACTGAAGCAATTGCTGAGAACAAGGCAGGATAAGGGCTTGAAGACGTCCACAGATATCAAAATACACACACTGGGAAGGACACCAAACTCAGATAAGAACTGAAAGACTAGAATTATTTCATGCTTTGTTTCTAGCACTGGGCCATGCGCAGTTTGTCCTTTTAAACAGTCCTCACAGCTGCAGCCCATGAAGGGGATCAGGGCCCTTTCCTCCCCCATAGACCACACCATTCACATTTCTCCCTTATCCGCTCCTCCCTGCATGCCCTAGGATGAAGAGGGGATGGGTTTGGGTCTTCCTCTGAATGCCCAGCCAGCCTGTGCCCTTCCCCAGTTTCCTCCACAACCTCTGGAGCCACACTTCCAGGGGTTGGATTCTACTGGTTCTGTCCGGCTCTGTAGAACCGGTAGCTCTGAAGAGCAGCAGACATGAAACCAGTTCTATGTATGCTGCTGTTTCGGCCCACACACCCACCCGGGCTCTTACCTGAACTTTATTTCCTGCGTTTTCAACCTCAGCTGCTTTGCGCGGCACAGCTGCGGTTGAAAAAGCAGGAAAAAAGTGCTTTTACAACCGCTGTTCACCCGCGCACAGTGCTGCTCAGCTCTCCAGGCATCAAGCTGATGGTGATTCACACGCATGCACAGTGCGCGTCAGGTGCACATGCGTGTGCAAATTGTAAATCACCGAACCAGTAGTTAAACCAGTCGGATCCCACCCCTGCACACTTCCACTCCCTGTCGGCTATTCCTCCTCCCCCTCAGAGTCAGACTCCAACAGTGGCATGACACACTTTCTACTCCACTGGTGAGGCCCCACTTGGAGTATTGTATTCAGTTCTGGTCACCGTGATACAAAATAGGTATTGAGAACCTACAGAAAGAGTGCAGAGAAGAGCAACAAAGATGATTAGGGTCCTGGAGGCTAAAACATATGAAGAACCGTTGCAGGAATTAGGTATGTCTAGTCTAGTGAAAAGAAGAACTAGGGGTAACATGTGAGCAGTCATCCAATATTTGAGGGGCTGCCACAAAGGAGGGGGTCAAATTACGCTCCAAAACACAAGAAGGCAAGAAAAGAAACAATGGATGGAAACTAATCAAGGAGAGAAGCAACCTAGAACTAAGGAGAAACTGCCTAACAGTGAGGACAATTAACCAGTGGAACAGCTTGCCACCAGAAATCATGGGCGCTTCATTGCTGGAGGTTTATAAGAAGAGACTGGACAGCCACTTGACTGAAAATGTATAGAGCCTCCTGCTCACGTAGCGTGTTGGACTAGAAGATCTCCAAAATCCCTTCCGTCTCTGGTGTTCTGTTCTTTGACTGCTCTTGCATCCTTTTGAACGTGAAATGCTTTTTCTGGATCGTACATGGCTAAATATAAGCAAGCTGACAGGACAGCTTTAATTTAAAGCAACGTTGAGATGATATTCTGAAGTCAATCATTCAGCAGGCTGTGTTCCATCCGCATATTGATGTACAGGGGCTCAGTCCAAATAGAGTTAGGCACTTTTAAACACTATTGATTTCCAGAGAGCATCTTTCCATTTTGTCTCTGGAGCTAAGAAAGCAAAGCTCCACTGTGTCTGGATCCTGTCCAGCGAATTCATTTATTTGAAATGCGCCTTCATTCAGAGTCATTCTCTGTCTTGGCGATCGATTCCTCTGTTGTAAGAATTTGTGAAGTTCTTTCTGATGGCTTCACTAAAGCTCCCAAGGGGAAGTATGTAGATATTTATAATATTCAAATGTAAGAGCAAAGAATCCAAGGTTGCCGATATAGGACAACAGTTAATAGTGGTCATAATAAAGCAGTTATAAAAGAATTCACAACAGCAGTAGGAACAATCAGTTTTACGTATAGTTTAAATTATTAAATTGGATTATTCAATGACATTAGATTAGGGGGCGTAAGCTGCCTTGAGTTGCCACAGGTGAGGAGACGGCAATATAAATTTTCCAAAATAAATAAACAAATAACCTTAAACTTAAGGAGAGAAGTTCAAAAGTAATGATAGAAAGTATTACTTCACAGAGAGAGGTAGCTTGGAACCAACTTCCAACAGAGGCAGTGGGTCAGTCATCAATCACCAAGTTTAAGGTTGCTTGGGTTACATGTCCTGCCCTCTGACAGAAATGAAAAGTGAAATAAAATAAAAATCAATAAAAAATAAAACTAATAATTAAAAATAATAAATTAAGTAATTAAAAAAAACAAGTAAACTCAAAGGGCAGACTTAATGGACCACTGGTTTTTTTCCTCCCCTGCTATTAGTTTTCTGTGTTTCTATATTTCTAAACTCTGAAGCTTCCTTGAATTTGAGCTGCTTGGTGACTTCATGGACATCCAGATGTTCTTCTTGGCTACAGTGCAGAAGCCATTTGCCTTTAGCCTCTTCTGGGACTTCTTTCAAGTCTCCAGTCTCACTTCCACTTCTGAGATGTCCCATGTTCACCTTGAGTAGGACTAATCCTACCTGGCTTTTCAATTCAGGGAAAGCTGAGCAGGTGCTTTCATCTGCTGAGACCTAATATAAACGCCTAATTTATTTCTACTTAAAAGAGTTCTGAAAGGTGGGATATATTCTTACGCATGTTTAGATCCGGGAGAGAGAGGTTTGCCTAGAAGCGTCCAAGGATGTCATGGAGCTTCATTAACCTCACTGCCCTAGTTCAACCTGCCTTTTAACCTTTCAACCTGGATCTAGTCAAACCTGCCCGTTAATCTTTGAACCTGAACTGGTCGCCGCAAATATGTCAAAACAATCCACAAGAGGAAGATCTGGAGCACTTGGCACATTCTACTTGTCGAGCCTTGTTTGCCACAGGGATTGAAAGGTGATCTTCCAAAGACTTTAAAAAAAATTGTAAAGCAAAACTGCAGCTTCTGCAATCTGAAAAGGAAACCAGTACAGTATTGTAGAAGTCCATAGCCTAACAACAGCTCGCCAGAATCGGAGTGAGGAACCAAAAGGTTCACTAATGTTAAACAGCTTTGTTTAAGCAGTGGTCTGATGGAAACCAAAGGCTTGGGTGCTCTATCCAGAATGGTTCCATCCAGGATCGGCTCCAATTCTGAAACAGAAGTAGACAATCCATTTCTTTTAAGAACTGGAATAACCTTTTGGAGTTTTCTTGGCAGGGGTGAGGCTGAAGCCACTGGCCTCATGGCAGAAGCAGATAACTCTTATCAAGACCCGAAGAGCTTCCTTGCAAGGGGCATTTGAGATTCCCTTGGAGAGGAGAGGTAGCTGTGTGTTTGTGAACTCTGAAAAAAAATTAACAAAACAGGAAAAAATGCAAGGACACTTTTGAGTGATCCTTCTCTGTATTATTTTCCTGATGGCTCTACATAGTTGGCATCTTCTTGGTGGATGTTTTTTCTACTTCTCCACCAGCTGTGGGGCTATTTATTTGCCATCCCAACTGGTCCCAATCCTGCTTCAAAGCTCAAATAAAATCAATCAAGTACTGGAATTGCTAACGTGGCAGTTCAGAAGAGCTGCTTTTAAGCAGATGTCATGAACAGACAAAGTTCTTTTGGGTTCTTCCTTGGAATCTCTCTTCTCTCTATTTAATTCCATGCCACTCCACTCCATTCTATTTTATGCTATGCTGTTCTGTTCTTTCTGCATTTCAGCTCTCTCCTTTTGCATCCTTAAGCCTTTGTGCTTCTGGAGGCTGAGTGATGTTGGAGTTCTCTGCTCACCCCCACACTCTTCAAGAATTATTTGAGTCCCCTTCCCTTGCTAGAGATGGACTGATGGTCCCTGGAGTTCTTGATTCCTCTGCTTATCCCTAGGACTCAATTTCCTCTCTTCCAATGTTGCCAGAGTGGGATAAATCTGCTTGCAAGACAGCCACCAGTGACATCCTTCCCATGCCTTCAAGAACAGAAGCGATTGCTGAAATCTGTTCAATGATTTGTCTATTCCAGCATTCAACTTTCCAAAAACAGATAGGCAGATGAATAATGGGAAGCTTCTAAACAGCATCTGGGGAGAGAAATCTTCCCCCCATCTTCAGTTTCCCAAACCTGATTGTAAGCAGTAGAACATTCTGGATTTGGGTCAAATGTGTCTGCAGGGTTTAATAAAAAACCCTCAAGATGGCGGACGCATTCATGCAATCAGAATCCCACCCTTTTTAATGTGTGCCGCACGTGCAATTCACACACCCAAAAGGCAATATATCTTGACTTTGCTAGCTTCTTTCTAGACTCATATTGATTACATCATCACGGCCGCCATTTGTTATGACCTCACATTGGACACCTGGGTTGGAGACTCCATTTAGTTCTCATTGCTATCAGCCGCTTTGGGTGCAATCTTTTTTTTTTTCTTTCAGAAAAAGGTACAGATAGTCTTCACCTTGTGGCCACAATTGGAACCAGAATTTCTGCTGCTAAACAAGGCAGCTGCTAAGTGAATCAGGCCCAAATTTTATAACTTGTTTTTGTCACAGGGAAGTGAATTGTGCTGCCGAATCTGGCTTTCCCCATTGACTATCCTGGAAGCCTGTCTCAAAGGTCACCAATGGCAATCCCATGACCCTGGCATGCTACAGCAGTCATCCATACACAGAGCACAGAATCATGAGGTTGGAAGGGACCTCGAAGGTCTTCTAGTCCCACTCCTTGCCCAAAACAAAAGGCCTTATTCCATCCCAGACAAATGGCTGCCCAGTCTCTTCTTGAAGACCTCTGGGGATGGAGGGCCCTCACAACTTCTATTTTTCAAATTTTATTCCTTTTATTATATAAAATACAAAGAACAGAAAATAAAATAGGAAATGAAGGGAAGGAAAAGCAGTGGGGAAAAGGGGGTGCAAGCTACAAGCACCCACAACTTCTGAAGGAATTCGTTCCACTGATTAATAGTCCTCATTGTGAGGAAATTTCTCCTCCGTTTCCAAGAAGGACTTCTCTTTAACAACATCTCAGTTGTCCAAGTGCCCAAATTTTCATCACTTGACCATGGGGATTCTGCAACGGTCATAAGTGTGAGAACCAGTCATAAGTCATTTTTCAGTCCTGATGTAACTATGAATGGTCATTAAACAAATGGTTTTAAGTCAAGGACTGTATAGACTGGGAGCAACTTCTTCATAGTTACTTCAAGATCAAAGGACCATCTAAGAAAATGCGACTTCCCTATAGAAGATTCTCTGTGTAGATGTGGAAAACAATCCATCTCACATATACTGCAGTGCATACGATGTCAGAAGGTTAGAACAGAATAGACCTGGATGGGACTTTAGAGGTCTTCTAGTCCAGCCCCGCTGCTCAAGCAGAAGAACCTCTACCATCTCAGACAAGTGACTGTTCAGTCTCTTCTTAAAAACCTCCAGTGATGGAGTGCCCACAGAAGGTCCTTCAATATGCATGGAGGCAGACCTCATGGCGGCCAGGCGAAATGAGTTGACATGGCCAAATCCTGGGCAAATGTCATCTGCAGGTAGTCCTTGACTTACAACCACAATTGAACCTAACATTTCTGCTCTTAAGTGAGACATTTGTTAAGTGAAATTTGCCCCATTTTATGACCTTTCTTGCCTCAATTGTTAAGTGAATCACTGCAGGGATAAGTTAGTAACCCAGTTATTAAGTGAATCTGGCTTTCGCCATTGACTTTGCTTGTCAGAAGGTCATGAGACCCCAGGACACTGCAACGGTCATAAATATGAGCCACTTGCCAAGCATCTGAATTTTGACCATGTGACCATGGGGATGTTACAGAGGTCGTAAGTGTGAAAAATGGACATGTCACTTTGTTTAGTGCTGTTGTAACTTTGAACGGTCACTACATGAACTGTGGTAAGCCAAAGACTCCCTGTCATTTTAATGATCCTATTTTATCTGTATCCTTTTTACCCTTGCTGTATTTTTATGACCTGTTTTATACCTACTTTGTTTGCTCGGTGTTGAATGTTATAGGTCTATAATTGGTAGGTGCCTCTGATACGAAAAAACTCGGCTCTTGAACCAGACAAAATCTCTAGTCTAATGAAAAAGTTTAGTGAAGAGAAGGACCAGGGGAGACATGATAGCATCTTCCAGTATTTGAGGGGCTGCCCCAGAGAGGAGGAAGTGGGTCAAGCTATTTTCCAAGCCACCCAAAGGCCAGACAATGGATGGAAACTGAAAAAGGAGAGATTCAACCTGGAAATAAGGAGGAATTTTCTGACAGGGAGAACAATCAACCCATGGAACAGAAGTTGCCTTTGGAAGTTGTGGGAGTTTCATCACTGGAAACTTTCAAGAGGAGACAGGACTGCCATCTGTCAGAAAAAGTGTAGGGTCTCCTGCTTGGGTGTGGGGTTGGACTGGATGACCTACAAGGTCCCTTCAAATTCTGTTAATTTGTTAAAAAATATGTTGTGGGAAAGTGTCCCCAAAGCAACTTTATTTTCCCCCTTTTGAGCTGGGAGCTGACTCAAAACCTACCCAGAGAAGAAACCAACCTTTGTAAATAGATCTTGGGCTTATAGAGGCCACATTTCTATATAACTTAAGTCACAGTCATCAGTAGGGCCCCTATATTATTTTTTCATCTAACCTCTATAGATTGCAACTTCAGCTTTCAAACAGGAACCGTTCCAGTGACAAAGGCTTGACTTTTCAACCAAAGCCAAAACCAAAAAGTAGAATAGGGTCAACACACCTCAAGGACGTAAGCAATTGGATACAGTCCTTAGTATATTCCATATTAGTACATTTAGCTTCCCTTCGGAAGTTGTGGGAGCTTCATCCCTGGAGGCTTTCAAGAAGAGACTGGACTGCCCTCTGTCAGAAATGGCGTAGGGTCTCCGGCTTGGGCAGTGGGTTGGACTAGATGACCTACAAGATCCCTTCCAACTCTGATTACCTGTAATCTCTCTCTCTCTGCCCACAGGTGACACCTACTCTGGTCCCCAGGCCAGCTCAGAGACTGACCTCCTGAACCGCCTAATCTTACTGAAGCCAAACTCTTCCAAGAGCGGGAAAAGCGACGGCAAAGACCCCACCTCGGCTACCCAATGAGGCCGCTCAATACCGAGCGAGGAAAACTGTTGGGGTGCCGAGGAACCGAGGAAATTTTTTTTCCCCCCACCTGCTCCTGCTCTTCCACGAAAGGCCCAAGGGATGACATTTGGCTGCAGGGAAAGAGTTGGAGGCCCAGGAGCTGTGGACAATGAGCCTGGCTTGGCCCAGGATTGTCAGCAGGCATCCAGATCTTCTGCAAAGGACGAGCTATATATTATTACAACTATTTTCAATATATCGTATTGTTTATGCATATCCTATATATCCAAGAGAGAGTTGAGCGGGGGGGGGCGGTCTCCCCTGAAGGCACATCTCTTGGCCATCAAGGCCAGAATATTTTAGACCGTCGGAGGGAGGGCTCGGCCCCAGGGAGGGTGTGTGTGCGTGTGTGTTTGTCTTCCTTTCTCACATGGGGTGGGGGGACAGCACCTTGGACAGGGCCTGGGCTGACATCTTCTTCCCACGTCACTTGGGAGCCGAAGGATGGGCCCCCGAAAGGGTTGTGGGGCTGGAAGAGGGGCTGCCAGCCCAGGTTTTCCTAAACAGCCTCATTCCTTCTGCCGATCCGTGCTGCAGACCCCAACCAGGTCTTTGGGAGGCCCCCAAAGAAAGCTGGTTTTTTTTTTTTTTTCGGCACAGCGGCCCTGCAGGGGAGAGCGGAGCAACAGAAGACACCTCCCTCCTTGGGGACTTCGGCCTGCCCTCCTCGGAAACGCAGCTTGCTCCCCAGTGCTTCCCCAACACCGATGCTTCGGCCTTCCCCGGAGAAGCCAGCTTTCTCTCCCCCCCCACCCCTCAGTAACGGTAGCACAAGTTCCTTTCTGGCTGTGCTCTCTCCGTGGGGCTGCCAGCTCAGGACGAGAGTGGGATGGAGGGGGTGGGTGGGCTTGAGGCCTCAGTTCTGTTTGCTGTGCCCAGAAGCTGGCTCTACTCGGGGCTATTTGGGGACAGGTCGTGAGCTGCGAGGGGTGGGCTGGATGGCCTTCCTTTTCGAACACGGGTGCTCTATTGGAGGTCGGTTCGCACAAGGGCGCGGACCCCGGCTGTTCCCGAAGGGAGGAGATATTGACTGGGTTTCGCCCCAGGCCTCCTTTGATTTGGGCTCAGCGTGTGGGGCGAACCCAGCCCCTGTGCTTTGCCAAGCGGGGTTGATAGCTTAGCAGGTACACTCAGTCCCATGTGGCTTACTCAACCAACTGTGGTTCATACCAACCATTGCCTCAGCACAATGCAGACGCCGGTGATGGCAAAAGGGGAAGCAACTTGAGGTGGCTTCATTGTTGGAAGATTTCTTTTACATTCCAGTTGGAAAGTTTTGCCCCTCCTCAAGTCTATCTCCTACCTCTACCCACCCCCCCAAAACAAACAACCCCCAAGGCCTGGCCAAGCTTCTGGCAGGGGTCAGTGGCTGACCACTTCCTCCTTTCTCTGTCCTCGAAGCCGAACAAGCTGTGGGACCACTGGTCAGTCCCAACCTTCTTTGGATTGGCAGGAGACAATCAGTTGCTTGCTTCCAGAAGGTTCCTCCTTATTCCAATTCCCGGCTTCTTCTCCTCTTCTTGGACAGTTGAAAAGGTTGTCCACTTTTAGCCTGGCAGCTTGACCATGGCTTGGCCTTCAGGCAGAAGCACAGTGGAGGGAGGGTCTTCCGGGGCTCTGAAGGACTCTGTTGAAGGAACCTCTCTACTTTCCTTCTTCAAAAAGCCTCTCCTGAGAATGCACCCCCGTCTTCTCCCCACATCCCACCTCCCTCCCTCCTTTCCCAGTACAGTTAGTCAAGGCAGTCTTCTTCAAGCTGGTGACCTCTGGATGTACCACTCCAAATCCCAAAATCGCTGGTCCGTACTGCCAAGGGATCACGGAACAGAAGTTGCCCTCGGAAGTTGTGGGAGCGCCATCACTTGAGGCTTTCAAGAAGAGACTGGGCTGCCATCTCTCAGGAATGGTGCAGGGTCTCTTGCTTGGGCAGGGGTTGGACTAGATGACCTATAAGGTCCCTTCCAACTCTGATGATCTGTTATCTGATGTGATTGGATGCCCTGGGAGATTCGGAGGCTACCAGCTTAGGAAGGGCCATCTTGGGGGGGGAAATGCTTCCATGGAGCACCTGGATTTCCTATGCTGAACTTTTTTTAAACAAAAAGCAATTGGTTTTTCTAGTTTTACTATTTATTGAATAACTTTTAGAAGGGCTATCTTTTTATAGTCGTACAATTGGTAGGGTTTGTTTTTGTGTTCTTTACTTTGTTCCTTTATTTTTTTTTCCTCTCAATCATTGCTGGAGATATTTGTTCCCTCTCTTGTGCTCTTTGTATGTGTAAATAACCATGTTTTGGATCCTGTGTGTTGAGAGAAGGGAGGCGTTTCCAAGCCAGGAGAGAGAAAACTATGGAAATGAACCGAGAGGATCAGCTGATGTTTTAGCTCAGCTCCCAAGTCCAGTTGAAGTCTATTTTAACGCCAGTGTATTGGGGGGGGCGGGGAGGGAAGGAAGGGAAACGAGACCACGGACTGCGAAAAGCACCCAAATGTTTTGTAACTGATGATTTCCCCCAGAATCCCTTTGCTCTTCTCCCCAAGGCCATCTGCAAAAAAACAGAAACACAATTCTGAGCCTGAGATTAAATTAGCCACAGCCTCACCACTGCTTCAGAGTTGCCTCTTACGATTTCTTTCGTGAAGCGGGGGCAGAGGGTGGGTGGGGGGCACGGAAGGGTCTCAAAACACAGCAGAATTGTGGGTGCAAATTTGGAGCCCGGGGTTCAAGGCTGGAGGTGGGCAGGGATTGTCTTTGCAAGGCTCCCGGTTTCAAAGGTTTTCTGCTCTGAACCTTAGCCAATTTTTAAGGGGTGCAGACTTCAACTCCCAGAATTCCCCAGCCAGCATTGAGTTGACCGGTGTTTGAATCTGCACATCTGAAAACTGCTAAGATTGACAAATACTGGACTAGCAAGGGGGGGGGAAACAAATGACCATCCAGATGTTGCCAAGGTACACACTACAGCATCCCTCCTGTCAGGTCTCAAGAACAAGAAACCACACATGGGAGTTACTTAAAAGTGGCTTCCTTTATTGTTCCTCACCTATAGACAGGATCTTGCCAGAGTGCAGCAACTATTTGCAGAACTACCTATCTACTCTGGGAAAAGGTAGAGAGGAGCTACTTTAACCCTCTTCCTCCTAAGCAAATTATCTAACCTTCACTGCCTCATTGCCCTCTAGAAAGCAGCCCCTCCCTCCCGGGAATCCAGACTACATTCCACCACAGTGCCCCACTGGCCATTCCATCAAGGCTATGGAGACTTGATGTGAAGGGTCATGTCTCTTGGCTTTTCGCCATTGAAGAGCGGTGGCCAGTCGTCTTTCCAGCAAAAGAGAACATCTGGTGATGGGGAAGATCAACCTCCAGCGTCTATTTTACGCGCCGCCAGTGAGAAGGGCAAGGCACCTAATCCAGATTAGCAATTTGTTAGTACTTAAGAAAGAGGAAACATTTTTTCAGCCAGGGAGTGCTAAGTGTGCAATACAGCCATCAAGTTGGCACAAAAGTTGAAACAGATGCTTAAGAGAAAAACTGAGGTAGACAAAGCTGAGCTGGGGTTATTTGAGGCACAGGTTGGCTTTGCCAAAAAAAATGTTTTGGTTGCTTTTGGTGGTTTTTTTTTTTTAATGGAATTGCTCAATCAATAGTCATTATGAGCTACTGTGGCACAGTGGTTAAAATGCAGCATTGCAGGCTAATTCTGCTGCCTGCCAAGAATTCAATCTTCACCAGCTCAAGGTTGACTCAGCCCTCCATCTTTCCAAGATCAGTGAAATGAGGACCCAGATTGTTGGCGTCAATATGCTGATTCTGCAAACCATTTAAGAGCTGTAAAGCACTGTGAAGATCTAAGTGAAATTGCTATTGCTGTTATGGCTGTTCCCATCTGACTATTTCTTGATCAAAATAAGTTGGTGAAACTCTGGAAAGAGTGCAGAGAAGAGCAACCAAGATGATTAGGAGACTGGAGGCTAAAACATACGACGGACGGTTGCTGGAACTGGGTATGTCTGGTTTAATGAAATGAAGGACTAGGAGTGATGTGATATCAGTCTTCCAGTATCTCAGGGGCTGCCCCAAAGAAGAGGGAGTCAAGCTATTCTCCAAAGCACCTGAGGGCAGGACAAGAAGCAACAGGTGGAAACTAATCAAGGAGAGAAGCAACCTAGAACTTAAGGAGAAATTTCCTGGCAGTTAGAATAATTCACCAGGGGAATGGCTTGCCTTCAGAAGTTTTGATTTCTAAGAAGAGACTGGACAGACACTTATCTGAAATGTTACAAGGTTTCCTGCTTGAGCAGGGGGTTGGACTAGAAGACCTCCAAGGTCCCTTCTAACTGTTAATTCTGTTCTGTACAGACTGAAAACCCAACCAGTCAAAACAAAAACTCACAAAATCGCCCTCAATTTATGATACGGGTAAAGGAACTTGGAAAATCTGTTTTTGAAAGCTAACAATGTTGCCAATACAGCAACTCACATTCTTCAAAATATTCCCCAAAGTAAAATGAGCCATAAATCATCCTATTAAACACTAGCATATTTACCTTTATCCACTTAAATATTGTAAGGTTGAATTCTTCGTGTAAAAAAGCAATCACCTTAGGGCCCAAACAACCTTTCGAATAATTATGGACACAGGCATTTTTCATCTGTTCTAAAATGCTTCACCATGTAAGCAAACTGAAGCTTATTTGAATTACAGACCAGAACCAGAAATGCTTGGCAATTTTTAAACAAGCTTGGGGTTCCTTTATCCTGGCTCAAATCCATTTAGTAAAAAGAGCAGAAATGCAGAGCTGGATTTTATGTAGTACTTATTGAGAAACCCTATTGTGGACTAAGATTAATTACATTTATTCTGGAGTAAGCTTAATTACATTTTGAATTGACAGAAGCCCAGGAATAATTGTGAGGATTTTTCTAGAGGAAAAATCTCAGCCTTCCCACATTCCCAGTGATTCCCATGGAAGATTCTTCCATATCCAGGATTTAACATTTTCAGTCCCACAAAAACCCCTCCCAATATTTAAAGACTTGGTCTGAACAATAACCGTTCTGTTGCAAGCTGAGATCCAACACTCAAGAAACGCAGGAATTCAATTGAAAAGTGATTGAGGTACATTTGGGCTGAAATTGAACAGAATCCAGGAAATTACTCTGATTAACCAATTCTGTGTAAACTACCCTCTCTAAATGTCTATGGAGATTTTCAATCATCCAGGTCATTGTTGTCCCAAAGATGCTTTTTCCAAAAGACGACTTGACTTTCTAGGTATTTTGTTTGAAAACGTTTCACTTCTCATCCCAGCAGATCCACAATGTTTTCAAAGAAAATACCAGTGAAAGTCAAGTCGCCTTTTGGAAAAAACACCTCTGGGACAACCACGACCTGGATGACTGAGAATCTCCATAGGATTTCTCTCCATAGACAAAATACTTTCATTAGACAGAATTGAAGGGGAACTGTTCATTTTTCCGGGAATCATTTAATTAAAGATCTGTGAATCAACCTAACCTGAAATGGCCACTGGTGGAAAGGTTTGTATTTCAAGAATTCAGGAAGCCCTCAAGTTACCACCACAATTGAGCCCAAAAGTTATGTTGCTATGTGAAACATTTAAGGGAGTTTTGCGCCATTTTATGACCCTTCTTGCCACAGTTGTTAAGTGAATCACTGCAGTTGATAAGTTACTAACAGAGTTATTAAGTGAACCCCAGATTCCACACGGTCTTTGCTTGTCAGAAGGTTGCAAAAGCGCATCCCTTCATCCCAGGATTCTGCAACCATCATAAATATGAGCCAGTGGCCAAGCATGAGGATTTTGACCAAGTGACCATAGGAATGCTGGAATGGTGAAAAACGGTCGTAAG